TGTAAAGCTTCCTCAGACAGCCATTTTGGTTTCTTGCATTTCTTTTTCTTTGGGATGGTTTTAGTTGCTACCTCTTGTACAATGTTGTGAACCTCCGTCCATAGTTCTTCAGGCACTCTGTCTATCAGATCTAATTCCTTAAATCTATTTGTCACCTCTACTGTATATTCATCAGGGATATGATTTAGGTCATACCTGAGTGGCCTAGTGCTTTCCCCTACTTTCTTCAACTTAAGTCTAAATTTTGCAACCAGAAGCTCATGACGTGAGCCACAGTCAGCTCCTGGCCTTGTTTTTACTGTCTGTATAGAGCTTCTCCATCTTTGGCTGCAGAGCACATAGTCAATCTGATTTCTGTATTGACCGTCTGGTGATGTCCATGTGTAGAGTCGTCTCTTGGGTTGTTGGAAAAGAGTGTTTGCTATGTCCATCATATTCTCTTGACAAAATTCTACCAGCCTCTGCCCTGCTTCATTTTGTACTCCAAGCTCTGTGCAAATGCTGTCTGTCTGCACTGTACTGCTTTCAGTGGCTCTATATCCCCGTCCCCCTGAACATGCTTTGGCAACTGGCATTGAATATCTGGATCAACATCCCCCTGAAAGCTAAGCAGTGTAGACAAAAGCTGTGCTTGGGTGCACAATTCAGTGCACATCCTATTTAAGCAGTGGCTTGTGATCCGTACAATGATGGGTGTGTGGAATCCTGGAACTTGTTACTTGAATGCCCAGTGCTGGTGTAACAGGCACCCATTACTGTCTAACTACAGAACAAGATTACCTAACTGCTCATGTAAAAAGCAACAATACATTGTTTCTCTGTGGTTCATAACCAGCACATGGGCTGTTGTGCAATGCCAGACAGAAGGCACAGCACAGCTCCAACAGCATATTCCAGTATGAAGTAACTGGATCATATCTCAGCTTCTCACAATATTTACGAGACAAACCAGTCCTCTGGGTCATGCATGCCCACTTTAAACATTGCCTTCCTACCGTCTTTTTTATTGTTTTTACTGGCCTTGTAATCCCTGGTTTACAGGCTCATTGCATGAAGCAATCCCCAAATTAGACATTCAGGTAATGTCTAGCTTCAATAATGGTTTCTCCTTTACTTCTGTATTGCATTTATGACCTCTCAAAGAAGTAGGGAATAAAAATAAGCAAAGTATAAGGATTGGCAACCATTTTGCTCTAACTGTCATAAGCAAGTGATTTGGCAGTTTATTGTACGCAGTTGTTATTATAATTTGAATCTGATCCTAAAAATGGGAGTTTGGCATACTGATATACCA